GGTTGGGTATTAGACTTCCTGGACAGAAGAACAATAGAAGTTAAGGTTGGTATAGAGTATTCAAGTAGGCATATAGTGGAAAATGGTACCCCACAAGGTAGTGTTTGCAGCCCCATACTGTTCAATATTATGATAAATGACATTTTTGATCAGGTAAGTGGAAATATAGGTAAGTCACTTTATGCAGACGATGGAGCACTCTGGGTTAGGGGTCGAAATGTAGAATATCTAAGAAAGAAAATGCAATAGAGAAAGTTGAACAATGGACAGATAAATGGGGATTTAAACTCTCAATCCCAAAAACTCAAGTTATATGCTTCTCTAAGCGCCACAAAGTAGTGCCACTGAAGTTGTATGGACAAGATTTGGAACAGGTTAAGGTGGTGAGGTTTCTAGGAGTTCTCTTTGATGAGAGGCTGACTTAGTGTCAGCATATTGATAAGGTCAGAAATAAGTGTAAGAAGATCAACAGCGTGTTGAGATGTCTATCAGGGCGAGAATGGGGAGCGAGTAGAGCATCGCTAATAAACATTTATTTTAGGCTCTCATGAGAACTGCCTCTGACTATGGTTGTTTAGCGTATATGTCAGCATCGGAATCTAACCTTAAAAAACTTGATGTGGAGCAGGCACAGGCACTCCGGATTTGTACCAGAGCATTTAAAACATCACCAGTAACTGCATTAAATAATGCCACATTGGATAATAGTTCAAAACTATGTAGAGCAGTATCAAGAGGAATTATTCATATTTACGGATGGATCAAAGCAGCCGGAAACAGGCCGTACTGGTGCAGCATTTTTTATTCCTCGGTATGAAGTAGTAGTCAAAAAGAGGACAACAGACTACCTGTCAGTTTACACTGTGGAGTTAGTAGCAATTTTACTGGCATTAGGGTGGGTGGAAGAAAATAATCAGAACCAAGGTGTCGTTATAGACTCAGACAGTTTATCAGCATTATTAAGCATTCAATCTGGGAGAGCGTCATGTAGACAAGACCTCATATATCAAATACTCCACTTGCTTCTCACACTTCATAATAAGGGAATGGCTGTCTCCTTCCTTTGGGTTCCTGCCCATGTAGGGGTGGAAGGAAATGAAGTTGTGGATATGAACATTCACTGGCAGGAATATTGGAACACAGCGGATACAGGACGTCATTTATACAGTATACAAAATCAAGTAGTCACAAGGTCACAAGCGGGCAGAAGCCCAAGGGAGGAGATGTTAGTCTCACGTCTTAGAATGGGTCACACTGGTTTAAATACAACATTGCACAGAATAGGAAAACATCCCACTGGACGACACTTGAGCATTTATTAGGGAAAGCATCTGGGAGAATACACAATTTATTCATGTTATTTTTGAAAAACACTGGGTTAAGTAAAATAATTTAATATGGATTTTTTTTTTTAAGTAAATTTTTTTTTTCCTTTTTTTTTCTCTCTCTCTCCACCTCTCCTTTGATGTCAGTCTAATACCCACACTCTAGTCTAGTAGGTGGCGGTAATGCACCTTTGAGATGAGTTGCCAACCGCCATTAAACCTGAAAGAAGAAGAAGAAGAAGAAGCCGTAGATGCGGATCATGTGCACGTGAAAACTACATAATAAATGCACGCCAATAAACTGCTTGTTATATGCGCGTCAAACACGTGCGTATCATATGCACGTCAAAATTTCTGCATATCAATAGTACGTTTTTCTGTTTGTATTTGGCGTACTATTTATGCATTTTCATGAGATCGGGCTCACCCCTCTCATCCAATAGGATATGCATTACTATGTGTGTCATATAAGAATAACTTATAAAAGTTATTCCCAGATGCATCCTGTAATTCTAGACTACACGCAAAACCTTGAACAAGCAGATAAAAACGAGATATGGAGAGGGGGAACACGTGGAGGAAGAGAGAACACAAACAGACAAACTCAGAGAAATATTTGGCAGAGAGCATGATATAATCTAACATACCTTGTTAAAAGTACAATTATGTACTCTTTGCTGTCAGAACTGATTTTGTACCTTTAAATTAAAACAAAGGTCCACAGTTTTCATCTAAAGGACCATTTCCTGTACCTTACAAGGTACTTTCGTGGCAAATGTACCTTTATAAAGGCACAAATGGATGAACAAAGCATGACACTTGAGCATTTATTAGGGAAAACATCTGGGAGAATATGCAATTTATTAATATTATTTTTTTAATTTTTGTTATTTAGTGTAAAACACTGGGTTAAGTGAAAGAATTTAATAGGGGACTTTTGTTTATTTTATTTTTATTTATTTATTTTTTATTTCTTCCACTCCTTTGATGTCAGTCTAATGCCCACACTCCAGTCTAGTAGGTGGCGGTAATGCACCTTTGAGATGAGTTGCCAACCGCCATTAAACCTGAAAGAAGAAGAAGAAGAAGATCGTGCGTCACGTGCTGCAGTGTTGTTCAGCTCCCAGTGGTTTGTTTTCATCTGCAACACTTTCTGTTCTAGATATATTACACCAGCGGGTAAGTGATGGATGCATGCTGAGTTTAGAGAAGCACTTTAGACCGCGTATGCTGTTAGTTTCTCGAAAGAATCGAACTATTTCATTCTATGTTTTCAGGGAGATGTCTGTGTGCTCATTAGTAAGTGAAGATGATTCACACAAACCCATCCAGCTTCATCACCAACACTCCGTGACTCTGGGCCGAGGGCCAGAAACTAAGATAAAAGACAAAAAGTGCTCAAGAGAACAAGGTTGAGATGTTTTTTCTATATGAGCAATTGAGAGATCCAGGCTTTATTCATGAAACTAACACTAATATGTTTTTGTTTTCTTGCAGTTGAATTGAGAGCTGATTGCAACAGGGGATTTATCACTGTTAAACAGGTATGCTAGAATATTATAGTAAATATTAAAAGAGAAATGCATAATGTAATGGATATTTTAATAGTAAGGAAATCTGCAAATTCTAATATTGCATGTTTGAACCGTTTGTTTACTTTTTAACAGTTGGGCGTCAATCCTACAAATGTGGACGATGTGGTTGTGGGCAAAGGCAATCGGGTACAGTGTCATCAAAATAGCAAACACAGGTTTTTCACAGTATTTGACAAACTATCTCCTAGGGGTGTGACGAGACACGAGACTGGGTTCACGAGAACGAGATGAGATTTTTAGGTGTATTTTGAAATCAACTTGTACTTTATGAAATTAAACGTATATTTTAATACATTTTATGCAGTAATAAACAACATGTGCACAATAAACACAAACTCAATTGACAGGCAAGTAATTGCACAAAAATTATTTTAAAAAGTATAAATAAAAATAAATCATTAACACAAATATCCCTTTAAAGTGGAAGTGAAGCAGTCAGTCAAGTTTACATTATTTAGTAAACTGATTTCCACTTAAAAAAAAAAATAATTATAAACACGATTAATGTATCCATTTAAAGGGGTCATATGATGCGATTTCAAGTTTTCCTTTCTCTTTGGAGTGTTACAAGCTGATTGTGCATAGATAAGAAGTCACATCACAGTGGAGTCAGCTGTCTTAACCGTGGCTTGTGTACTGCACACATACCCGCTTTATCACTGTGTCTGTCACGCGACTCTGTTCCCCTTTCGGGCTCTGTCTTTACATTTATTTTGAAAGATGAAGCTCGTGATTATGGTAAGGGGTGTTACATTTCCGACGCGTGCTTGCGGTGTTCGGCCAATCACAATGCACTGGGTCAGCTGGCCAATCAGAGCAGACTGCTCTTGTCGGAAGGAGGGACTTTGTAGAAAACGAAGCGTTTGAGAGAGGCGGGGCATAGAGGACCTACAATAATGCACAGTATTGGAAAAATAATGTGTTTTTTGAACATTAAAGCATGTCAACATATTCTGTTACACCAAATACACCAAATAATGATCTTTAAAACAGCATCATATGACCTCTTTAAAAGAATAAAGCAGTGGTTCCCAACCTGGGGGGCGCGGCAAGGCTGAGGGATAGTTAGGGCCTAAATAGGTTCCTAAATTCCGTAAAAAATTTTCTGGATTCCGGTTTTTTCCATTTTAATTTTTCGCGACTCCTTTTTAATAGTTAAATTAAATTGTATTAATTAAAAACCATGTCTAATTATTTAAAACCATGAAACTTATACATTTTCACACCAATTTGTTTTTAACGTTTAACAAAAATTACATGTTTAGGGCCCTATGAAATGTTTTATTTTTTCTCACCATATTATTTATACTTTTTATTGTTACCAAATTCTGTGTTTTAGCATGTCTAATTATTTGAATGCATAAAACAACTTAATTTATTCATTTAGTTTTTCTTAAAGTAGCCTTGTGATTTTTTGACAGAAATTCTGTGTTGTGTATTTACATTTTTCTGGTTATCAAGTAAAGGCATAAAACATTAATTTAATCGATCATTTATCTTGTAATTATTGAAAATTAAGCAAACAAGATTTTTTTTGGCAAACAAAGGGGATTTACTATTAAAATTAAAACATTGAAGAAATGTTTTGTGATTATTCCTTGAAAAATCATGTTTGTTTCATTTTAGTAGTAGTAGTAGTAGTAGTAGTAGTAGTAGGAGGAGGAGGAGGAGGCTATGTACATTCTACTGAAAAATAGTTATAGGCACAATGTCTTCAAATCAAACCGGATTTTTATTTTGACAGGTTGCCGTGAATACCTTTACAGTTCTGTGTATGAGATATGACGCTAGTTTTACTCAAATCAAACGCTAAAATGCTCATGAAGTGACTCTTAGAGCAGTTCTGGAGATGTTGTTCATGTGTTTACGTCCTCATTTAGTGAGACGGCAGATGCTGAAATCACTGTGAGTGTCAGGCGTGCTTCAGTGTGTGTGTAGTAAATGAAACCGCGCATCTGTGCCATTCATAAACAGACAAAAAATAATCAAATTAGAATTCCACATTATTTTCACTAAATAAACATTTATTATAATTATAACACAGTAATGAAAAGCAATAATTACTAACATATATTTGTAACATTTTAGAGCATGTACACTAACCATCATTTATGTGTTATCCATCATCTAGCATACCTATAATGTCTACAAATGTCCTGTTCTCTTGTAATTGAGGCTGTATTGCACAGGTTACTGGTCTTAACATCCTACAAACCACATGTCGCCCACCTCTACAATCAGGTGACCGTAAAGCCAGGCCAGAGACTTTACGTAGTAGTAGGAGGAGGAGGAGGAGGCTATGTACATTCTACTGAAAAATAGTTATAGGCACAATGTCTTCAAATCAAACCGGATTTTTATTTTGACAGGTTGCCGTGAATACCTTTACAGTTCTGTGTATGAGATATGACGCTAGTTTTACTCAAATCAAACGCTAAAATGCTCATGAAGTGACTCTTAGAGCAGTTCTGGAGATGTTGTTCATGTGTTTACGTCCTCATTTAGTGAGACGGCAGATGCTGAAATCACTGTGAGTGTCAGGCGTGCTTCAGTGTGTGTGTAGTAAATGAAACCGCGCATCTGTGCCATTCATAAACAGACAAAAAATAATCAAATTAGAATTCCACATTATTTTCACTAAATAAACATTTATTATAATTATAACACAGTAATGAAAAGCAATAATTACTAACATATATTTGTAACATTTTAGAGCATGTACACTAACCATCATTTATGTGTTATCCATCATCTAGCATACCTATAATGTCTACAAATGTCCTGTTCTCTTGTAATTGAGGCTGTATTGCACAGGTTACTGGTCTTAACATCCTACAAACCACATGTCGCCCACCTCTACAATCAGGTGACCGTAAAGCCAGGCCAGAGACTTTACATGGTCAATCAGCAGTATCCTTACAGAGTGAGGTTCACTGAGGACACATCCACACCCAGATCTGCCGCAGAGTTGAGCAAACCTTCAAAAAGAGCCCATCGGATGAGCTCTGAGGGGAACGCAGAGAAGATCAAGAGCCCTGCAAACACAGCATCAGACCATCACAGAATGTCAGACGATTCGCCTCCACCAAAAAAGATACCATCATCTGGATCTGATAAATCTGTGAGTTTCATTTGGTCGGGAATTTGCAATAATTTGTGATGATAGCTTATACTTGTAATTAAGGACTTTTAGGGAGTAGTTTTGTATTGTACTGATATTTTTGCCTATTTTTAAATTTAAAACAAAGTTTCTGAGCTGGTTAGAGAAATTTTGAAGGTCTATATTAAAGGGGTCATATGATGGGATTTCAATTTTTCCTTTCTCTTTGGAGTGTTACAAGCTCTTGGTGCATAAAGAAGATCTGTAAAGTTGCGAAGACTAAAGTCTCAAATCCAAAGAGATATTCTTTATAAAAGTTAAGAGTCAACCACGCCTACCTAAAACAGCTCATTCTAACACGCCCCCACATGTCTACGTCACTATGTGGGAAGATTTGCATAACGCCGCCCAAATGTTCACGCAAAGAAGGCGTAACTTTTATTCTCGCTGTAGTATTGTTGTTGCCGCCGCCATGTCATGAAGCGAAACTACTTTGTTTGGTCTTCCAAAAGAGGACGATATCTGCTTCGTCATGCCTGGAGCTGATCGGTGCTGGTTGCTGAGGAAATACAACAACTTTGTACTGTGGATCACTGGATCTGCTTTCACCGTGGAAGAAGCGGAGTCCAGCCCATTCTCAAGCCCGCCACCTCTGCTCACTCTAGCCCGCCGGCCGTTCCTCAATCTAGCTCCCGGCCTCTGCTCACTGTAGGCCACCGCCGCCGCTCACTCTTGGCTTTGTTCATTGTGAAAGCAAAACTACTTTGTTTGTCCTTCCAAAAATGGATTTGAATCATCGCTCCGGCCGGGACACAGCATCACAGTATGGTGTGGGGCATAACATTTCCATCTCACGCTTGAGGTATTCGGCCAATCATAACACACTGGATAGCTGCAACATCATATGACCCCTTTAAAGATTTTTTTTTTTAATGCTGACCTCTTTGTAAACCAAAGCACTGCAAACTTTCTTGTTTCCCAGGAATCTGCTGGCCATTGGAGCCAAGGGCTTAAAGTGTCAATGCAGGACCCCAAGATGCAGGTATAAGTTGTTCATTTCTTTTGAATCCTATGAATCAAAAACTGAAACTGACAATAAAGACTTTTACATCATTGCAAATGATTCCTACTCCAAATGCTGTTCCTTTGAGCTTTCTATGCATTCAATTATCCTGAAAAAAACACACGAAAATAGCTGTTTGCAGCATTGATAAGAAATGTTTCTTGAGCAGCAAATCAGCATATTAGAATGATTTCTGAAGGATCTTGTGACACTGAAGACTGGAGTAATGATGCTGAAAATTCAGCTTTGATCACAGAAATAAATTACATTTAAAAATATATTAACAGCTGCCAGTTTTTATCCTCAGGTGTATAAAGATGACAGGGTTGTGGTCATCAAGGACAAGTACCCAAAGGCGCGGTACCATTGGCTGGTGCTGCCGTGGGACTCGATCTCCAGTCTGAAGGCTCTGCGCTTGGAGCACGTGGAGCTACTCAAACACATGCAGCGTGTGGGAGATCAGATGCTGCAGCAGTGCCCTGACGCTCACAAACTGCGCTTCCGTCTGGGATATCACGCCATCCCCAGCATGAGGTACAGACGTCTGCGTCCTGATTGGCTGCTGATGTGGGGAGAGCGGGGCTTGTCATGAATGCAATGTTTAAGATGTTTATTTCTTTTCAGTCACGTCCACCTGCACGTAATCAGCCAAGACTTTGACTCACCGTGTTTGAAGAACAAGAAACACTGGAATTCCTTCACTACTGACTATTTTGTGGAGTCTCAAGGTACATTATACACAAAAACAGCCGGTTATTCAAAATTACAGATAAATGTCTTTGTAGTCCTTTAATCAAAATGTAATTACTTTCTCCATCACATGGATGTAAGTCATTAAAGGAATAGTTGATAAATGAAAATTTGCTGACAATTTACTCACCCTCAGGGCATCCAAGATCTAGATGAGTTTGTTTCTTCATCAGAACAGATTTGGAGAAATGTAGCATTACATCAGTTGTTCACCAGTGCAATGAATGGGTGCCGTCAGAATGAGAGTCCAGACAGCTGATAAAAACATCACAATAATCCACACCACTCCAGCCCATCTGTTAACATCTTCTGAAGTGAGAAGCTGCATGTTTGTAAGAATGAACATCTATTAAGATGTTTTTCATTTCAGACTGTTGCTTCTGGCTAGAATACAAATCCTCTATCCATAATATAGCTTTCTCTAGTGAAATAGTCATTTCGGCTGAATCATATGAGGGAAATCTGCACAGATCAAGCACTGTTTACAATCCAAAACAGCTCCAAACAAATATGTGGGTGGATTTCGATGTGAGAGGGGATGGACTTTTTCACTGGACTGGAGGAAGCATTATTATGGATACTGGACTCGTATTCTGACCCGAAACAATGGTGCAAAGTTGAAATGTCTTAATTGGTTTATTTCAAACACACAGCTTTTCACTTCACAAGATGATAATGGATAGACTGGAGTGGTGTGGATTATTGTGATGTTTTTATTAGCTGTCTATACTCTCATTCTGACGGCACCCATTCACTGCAGTGCAAGGGATGTAATGCTGAATTTCTCCAAATCCGTTCCTATGAAGAACAAATTCATCTACATCTTTAATGGCCTGAGAGTGAGTATACTTTCTGCAAGTGTTCCTTTTTGAGTGATCCATTCCTTTTAATAAATTATTTAAAAAAATGGAAAAAAGCTGTTTAGAGAAACAAGCATTTCCCTGTATAATAAAGCAAAGCATTCATGTGTATCTTTCCACAGATGTCATTGCGATGCTGGAGCATGATGGGAAAGTGATTCCAAAAGTCTAATAGAGATAGCTGACCCAAAAATGAAAATTTAGACAGTAGTCATTGACTTCCATAGTGTTTTTTTTTTCTTCTCTTCCATACTATGAAAGTCAATGGCTACCGTCAACATTCTTCAAAATATCTTCTTTCGTGTTGAACAGAAGAAAGAAACTCATACAGGTTTGGAACAACATGAGGGTAAAATACCTCTTTAAGATGGGCTTACAACGTGTGCAATATCAAACTTGATTGGAACGCAGCATTAAAAAGGTGTTTCTTATAAGAAATCTGATCAAAATAATAATTGTCCTTTTAAACTCACCATGGATTTCATTTCCCGACTCTCTGCTTCTACTTTGCCATAACGCTCCGTGTCTTTCCTGGTGTTTTCTACAAACTCCTACATGAATGATCACAGAGAGACACCAACAACATATTTAATGTGACAAACACAAGACTCGTAGAAATGAATTTTTCATTGAGCTTGAGGTCAGAGGAAATGAATGGGAAACCGTCCCACCATAAGAGCCTTGTCCATGTAGTACTCTCTGCCCGGGCTGCCGTCGTTGTACTTGGTGTCGATGGCGAAGCAGAGGAAGAGAACGTCTACTACGATCTCAAAAATGGAGAGGAAGCAGTGGGCCACCAGGAAGGAGAAGACACACACGATGATGAGCGGCAGCACCCAGACGGTGTATTCACGCTGATAGTTCAGCGACAGGATGCCTGCAAACGCCGTACATGACACGATCAACACCTGCAGACACAAGAAACACCTGTTAGACCGTCTGGAATCACAGGTTTAGTCCATTTTAGCATCATTAATACATCATTATACCATTTCTAAAATAGTGAATTAGATTTTAATCTTCTATTTTGTTTTCAGTTTAATTTTAGTAATGTTTGTTTTGCGTTTGTCATTTTATTAGGTATATATATATATATATATATATATATGCTTTTTTTTATTTATTAATTTTAGTTTATTCTGTTTTAGTCATTTTAGTACTTTAAACAAAAATGATAAATGCTGCTTTGGTAACTAGCTGAAATAAAAAAATAATTTTTAGGTTTTAGTTAACAATAATGACCAGGCTTATCACTTAGGGATGTTTAGCACATAAATTGTCCCACGTTTGTGCTACAGACATAAATGATACCTCAGATTAAAAAGTTTTTTTGTTGACTGAAATTTAAGTGTAATAATAGAACAATTCTTAGATAAAAAAATAAATAAAATTATACATGAAAATAATACATGATGCCTTGCCAACTAACTGGAATAATGTATAATACAAGTACTAAATTAACAAAACTGAAATAGAATTTTTTATATATATATATATATATATATATATATATATATATATATATATATAAAAAAAAAAAAAAACTCTTAC